GACTGGAATTTTCCATCCCATTTTGCTTTGACCACATGTATTGAGCTGCAGCCTCTGAGATTCTATCATGTTTCCAAAAATGGTATCCATTAGGATGGAAAGAGAACGGATCTGTAGAAATGTTTACCTTTCAACTGCCCACGAATTCAGGACACTCTGGATAGAAGGACTCACTCCCCACGATGAGAACAGGGAAGAAGAGACCTGGCCACACTCAGTGCCAGTTCAAGGAACGTGGCTCCCTCCCCAGGGTCATCTTACCTAGATCTTTCTCTACCAGGTCATCTCAGCTCAATCCGAACAACCCTATGGTAGCCCTGGTCTGTTGTGTTCCTTCACTTTACGGTTTCTGTAATAAAAAGTGTTAATCCATGTTAATCTGTGTGGAAATTATTGCGTGCAACAGTATTTTCTCGTGTACCTCTTTTTCCTATGTGAATTGTCCCTCTTTTCTTTTTTATTTATAAATGTCTACTTTTTTTAAAAGACAAACCAACGTGTTGTAGACCTATATGTAACCTATTCCTTAGTCTCATATTATAGGTATGTTATAAGAATGGATATTTTACTTGGCTTTAGAATGTTTTACAAGAAAACTAATTCTTAACTGATCAAGTCCTTGCTACTAAAATGCTTGTGTTTTTCATCATGACGTCGTGTGCTTCTAAATTAATCATTTTCGTTGTAGAAAAATGGAGTGAATTTATATTAGTCTTGGAAACTAATAATAGCATTGTAAATTTATGAGATGATTTTAACAGAAAAAAATTATAGAAGAATATAGTTATTTTAATTGTAATATTACTAACTGTAGGGTGAGAAAGGGGGTCCCATTGTGGTGAACTATGTTATAGCTTGTTACTCACAGTTTCTTTTTGATCATTTTTTCGGTCTCTGAGGTGAAACGACTTATTAATTAAAATTTGTAAACTCACATATGCATATTGTATATGTGTAGAAATGTAATCACACTTTGTCTTGGAATTACATTAAACTGTTTGGAATCACTGTACACCCTGCCTGGCATGCTTATTCATCCTAGAACCAGACCGGTTATAACCCTAAGGAGGTTATTGTTACAGGTAACATATTTTGGAAGTGATTTAGCCCTTCAGAAATTATTTAATGCCTCTGAAAATGTTTGGAACCCACAACTTCGCTGAAAATTTGCAGAGATGACTGTGTGGGGCTATGGAGCGGGGGCCTTGAGATCGTTTTACCATCAGTTCCTGTGCAACCTCCAGGCCCTCCCCACTGCCGCCTCTAAGCCATTCCAACCCCATCTACTCCCAAACTCCATCCCCGAGGCCTAAAGCTTGGCTGTCATCTGCTCTCCTAGGAGCTTCCTGCCATTCCTCCCGGATCTGGGCATGGGGCGTGGCCTTCCTGTGCACCAGGCCCTGCCCTCTCACCAAGCACCTCTTCACTCCTGGGTCCATCACCAGGGCCCTTGTCCTTCCCCACCTGAGCTGATGGCATCATGGCCCCTTAGAGCCCTACCCTCATAGCTGCTCCACCTCTGGAAGCCTAAGAAATGCCCCTTCCTCCTAGACCTGGGCTTCCCAGCTTTCTGACACTCTTTTTTCTTAAAGTATGGTAAAATATACATAACATAAAATTACCATTGTAACCATTTTTAAGTGTACAATCAGGGGCATTAATTGCATTCGTGTTGCTGTACAACCATCACCACTATCCATTTCCAGAACTCTTTCATTGTCCCAAACAGAAGTTCTGAACCCGTTAAACAGCAATTCCCCATTTCTTCCTCCCCCCATCCCCTGGCACCCACCCTTCTCCATTTTGTGTCTAGGAATTTGCCTACTCTATATATTTCATATAAGCAGGATCTATTTGTCCTTTTGTGTCTGGCTTATTTCACTTAGCATAATGTTTTTAGGTTCATTCCTGTTATATCACAATTTCATCCCTTTTTATGGCTGAATAACATTTGGTGATGTATGTGCCACTTTTGCTTATCCACTCACCTGTTGGTGGACGTTTGGGTTGCTTCCACCTTTGGGCTGTTGTGAACAATGCTGCCATGAACACTGGCGTGCAAGAATCCGTTCAAATCCCTGCTTTCAGTTCTTTGGGGTATGTACCCAGAGGTGGAATTGCTGGATCGTATGGCAATTCTATGGTTACCTTTTTAAAAAGTTATTTTAACATTTATTGTCTGCTAAATACTGGATCAGTCTGACTGCAAACCCAGCTCTGTCTTCTCCAAATCACCGCTCGCCCACACACAAAGCCCAGTGGAAAACACTGTGTCTTGAACTCCCAGGCCAATTTCTGTTTATCCTTGGGTTTTTTGTATTGATATTTTTTTTTCATTATTTTCAACTATATTTTTACTGTACCCCATAGATTTCGGTATGTTGTGTTTCCATTTTCATTGGTTTCAAGAAATGTTTTCATTTCCTTCTTAATTTCATCACTGTGACTGACTCTCTGAGGACCCGCCATACTGTTCTCATGGCAGGCGCACCGTGTCACATTGCCACCAGCAACGCACAGGGGTCTGGTTTCCCTACCCGGCACCCACATCGTGCTTCCATTTCCTGTGTTCTGGGGCCTGGTGCCCTCCAGGCGCTGGGCCCCCGGTTTCCTGTGCCTCCCATCTGTACCCTCCACAGCTGGCCCAGGTGCCCCCGCCTTCCTGTCACCCCTCTTCCCCCACACCCTCAGCCCTCTGCGTCTTGCCCACTTGCTGTGGCTCGGGTTCCTCTACCCTCTCTGCTCCCAGGGCTAGGGAGTGACCAAGAACCCTAGGGACCCAAGGACTCCAGCCTCAGCCAGGCCTCCTGTGGCTGCCGGAAGCACCACTCCCCCCAGGCCCCGGCCCCACAGAGCAACCCAGACAGCCAGGTTGCTGGGCAGAGATGCCCCGCCCCACCCACCCAAACCCCGCAGTGGTCTGCCCACACCTGTTTCCTCTCCCCCAGAGCTCTTCCCCTCCAGCGTCCCCTCCCTCTTTTATTCCTTCACACTTGCCTCCTAAATGCTTTCAAGAACCAGCCAGGGTCTCAACACCCCTGACTGAGGAGGTGGCTCTGGTCATCAGATCATACTGTCAACATTTCTTTCCTTATTTCTCTTCTCCACAAAACCCTAAAAATTCTTGCAGGTAAGGATTTATCTTTCATTCCTGTTTCCACGGCATCTGTTACAAGGCCGGGTACACAGTGGATGGCCAGGAACTATGTGGACGAATGAACGAACAACTCAGCCCACCCCCATTCCCCCACCGGCCCACCCTTCTGCTCTCCAAGTTCAGAGCCTGCCAGAAGTCCTCACAGAATACCAGCAAAACCCTAAATGTAGCCAGGACTTGAACTTGGATTAAATTCCACCCAGCCAAGGTTCAAATTACATAAAAATCCATGCAGAAGATTTTGGCAGAATTTCAGAACTCTTCCACCATCCGTTTTATTTTATTGTTTTTTTATTAGAAGTGCCCTGCCAGGGATCACGCTGTGTGGAAATGGGAAGGGAAGGAGACACTGCGTGCAGTGGGATGAGAGCACGACCAAGGGGACTGCAGTGCCGCTGTGCCCGAGGAGCTTGCCACCAGCGCTCCCGGAAAGGCACTTAAGGCTAAAGCGCAAAGACAGACTTACTGCTGTCAGCGTTTCCCTCAAGCATATTCAATGCCGGGTAATAAAATGGTCGGTTGTTCCTTTGACTGAGATGAGTAGGAGCCGGAATTCCAGACTCACACGCCTCCTTCCCAGCGGAGCCGGGGAAGACCACGAAACGATTCAGTGGCAGTCTCGCTTGGCGTGTGGTGGTCACAGTGGGGCTTGCCTTTAGGGACAGATGCTCCTGCATCCCAAAGCTCCCCGTTCTTTAGGGTATGTTGCTGGGTGGCGGAGGCCATGCCCCCGCCTGTTCCAAACAGCCAAGTGTGAGGTTTTGCCTGACAGTCTGGCTTATATGTGTTTTCTAGCCGTTTGCTAGAGTAGCTAAGTTTAGGCAAATATTGAATAAGCATGAGAACAGAGCGCACATGAAGGGCAGAGTGTAAATGTCACACACACCAGCAGGCATGGGTATCCTCTCAATCTTTACCTTTCACATCCAGTCCCTCTCTTTGCCGGTACCTGGCATTAAAGGTGGGGGCTTGGGCGCTTTCCCCACCCACCTCGCACATTTTACATCCAGTGCGGACCACTCAGACTTCCTTTTGGGAACCATATTTCCCCCATGGCTACCCACACGCTATGTCACACTCCTTGAGGGTGAAAACTATCTGCTGTTCAGCAACAGCCATAATCCTCACTCTACGAGGAAGAAAGAGAGCTGGGAGCTGGACAGTCCTCCAGGACCGTGAGATTCTCCAGTTCCATTCTTCAAATGCTTGCCTTGCATGTAGTGATCTATAGAAGGTACGTAGTTTCGTCTACGAGGATACTTTGCATTTGATGCCACTTCTAAAACAATGCCAGATTGGAGGTACCCTGGTAAAGAAACCACTTGACATCCACTTTTATGTCTTTTTGTATTCTGTTCCAACATCCTCCTGAGTTCTATTGCAGTGGTCCTCTCAGAATCTTTATCTGTGGCAGACCAGTCTCATGAACTGGGGCTGTCTGTAAGACCAACTGTTGACAGATAAAAGGCCAGACCACAAGGAAAAAGTGGATGCTTGGAGGAAGCCCTGCTGAGTGGGAAGAGACTGTCACGGGTTTCAAGTTATCACAGGCCAGTGAGGCATGAAGAGAGAAGGCAATATAGATAGTATAGCTTTGGAGTCAGCCATATTTGGGTTCAAATCCAGGCTCTGTCATTTATCACTGTAAAATGTGGGAAACCACTTAACTTCTCAAGCCTCATCCGATGGCAACATTAAAGAATGCCCTGAGGGTGTAAGCTGTGTATTTTTTACCTTCGGTTCCTACACACCAACATCTGCCACACAGGAGCAAGTGCCTCTCTGAGGTGGCCCCTCCCCGTCCCTCCAGCGAGCTATGATCCTGGAACAAACGGCAGCAGACTTCTCTGGACACCAACCATCTCTTTATTCCATCAGTGACAGTACGACAGCACCACGGACACAGCAGGGGCCCGGCCTGAGAACCCCGGGCAGGGCAGGGAGGGCGGATGCAGGGGACCTGCAGGGCCCTGGACCGGCCTGGCCCAGGCGAGGGCAAAGCTGTCCCTGCCACCTCCCCTGGCAACCAGGAGAGCAACCTCTGGAATGCAGGGCTGCTGTGCCAACAGGAATACCACCTGTGGCAGTCCCCCAAAGCACCAGGGTTGCAGTGACGAAGCACTTGTGGGTGGCTCAGGGTGGACTCTGAACTTGAGAGGAGACTGCGTGTGCGTACACGAGCGTGTGCATGAGCGTGTGCATGTGTGTGTATGGGGGACAGATGCCTACACTACTTAGCATATGGGCCACATGACTTGCCTGGGGACAGAGGAGACCAGGAGCCAGGGACTCAGTGCTCCAGGGCCTGGGAGAGGGGCCCAGGGTGGAGGCAACCCCCCAACTGCGTTGTTGGAGAGGGCAGGTGGCTCCCGCTGGAGGCAGGTCTCAGAGTGGGCACCTCCCTCGGGCCTGGGAGGAGGTGCCCACCTCACGTGTAGGCCATCTTGCTGCACACCCACGGCCGGGTCATGAGACACTCCGTAGACACCAGCCTGGTGGGCTCCACGAAGACACACTCCCCGGGGCCTGAGATGGTGAACCTGTGGCCAGGAGAGAAGAGGCCAGGCACTCAGGACCTGGGACACTGAGCCCTTCACTGGGTGGCGAGGCAGCTCTGTGGCCTGCCCCTCCCTCTCTTCACTGCTGGAGCTACCTTCTAGGACATTCTTCCTAACAGACCTTTCTAGCTGGGCATCCATTGTCTCTCCACTCAGTGCACCCTGGGGACGCCCACAGACATTTCCTGGACACTCCCTGCACTTCCTCATCCTGCTTCCACATTCTTCCAGGGTCGGCTCCCACGCCCCAGGCTCCAAGACACCCAGGTCAGGACCACCCTCTGCCCACCCTGCCTGCACCGCAGGCACTGCTGCCACAGCCCCTCAGGGCCTGTGTCTGTGCCCCACCGTCCCCCAGGTGGCCAGCTCCCGAGCTCCTGCAGTACACAGTCTAGTTCTCAGTCTAGCAGGAGCGAGGGAGAGATGCTGAATTACCCTCACAGGTGGGGGGGACTGGATCCCCTCAGTATCGTATGACTACAGCTGTGCTGCCCAGGCATTCCTCGAAATCACACGAGGACCTGTGTGTGTGTGGAGGTGGGGGTGTCCTCTGAGCCTCATTAGTCCACCCTGACCTCACATCCCTGCCCAGGCTGGGCTTGGCTCTCACAAGAGAGGGTGTCAGAAGGACCCCAGAGGGAGTGCCAGAGGCAAGACCTCTGCAGTGTCAGAGAAATGTGGCCAAAGGCCCCTCGGTGGCCAGGTGGCCAGCACTCCAGGGACCCCAGCCTTCAGGGCTCTGAGAGCAGGAAGCTTCCAGAAAGAAAGGAGGAGAGGGGCAGAACGTGTAAGACCTCCTGAGCAGCTCTAAGAACAGACCTGGACAGGGGCAGGAAAGGGAGGGAGAAAAGGAAGAGGCTCTGAGAACAAGGGAGCAGAGATGAAAAGTGCCAGAGATGAAGGCATGGAGGAGACAGAAGTGTGGTCACCCGGCCCTCCGCCCCAGGGGGCAGCCGTGGGACTGACTGCCTAGGCCAGCCTCAGATGAGAGGGCCAGGTCTGGCCACCCGGAGGGTTTGGGAGTGTGAGGTGTCCTTCCGCTTGCATTCCTGCCCTGGGACACCCACGTGTCATCATCGTCAGATTAGCACCGTGCCCCGCTTCTGGCTGGCACCTCACAGCCTGTTCCTTCAGACACAGGGTCTGTTCTAGAAGCTGAGGTTCTCGTCCCCCTGCATGTACTTCCCTGCATTTCCCTAAGCCTAGACTACCACCCCCACTGCCACAGCCATCCACGTGCCACCCCCACCACCGTGGCCCCCACACCGCACCCCAGACCGGGCAGTCGCACACTCAGGTCCACACCGCTTGGCCACACAAACAACACCGCCAGCACCTCAGCAGTGCCACCCTGCACCAAGAGGTGCTTTCACTAAGAAAGTGTGGCCAGAATGCTCATGGGTGCGTGTACTCAGAGCCCCTCTCGTCCATAGCGACAATGCTTAGGTGGCACGTGTCTGCCCAGAACAGAGTCACTATCTCCCATCCCCCACCCAGATGTGGTCAGGTGACCGAGTTCTGGCCAATAGGGTGAGGGCATCCAGGGACGCCCTCGCGTGCATGAGCCCTGCTGCGGGAGAGGGCGTCAGTCGGGGAAAGAGCCCAGATCCCCGCCAGGGAGCTCTGATAGCTACACGGAGCAGAGCCACCAAGCCAGGCTGGACTTCTCCGGGCGTGAGAGAGTAAAGCCATCCTCAGGGCCGGGCGTCTGGCACACGGCGCCGGGCCCAGAGACTAGCATCTCTAGCGAGCACAAAGCCACGCGTTTCTCTCCCCTGCGCCCGGGGCTTAGGCTCTCCCCACTCTAAGCTTGGCGGCCAGAAGATGAAGTCTCAGCTCACGTGTCCGGGTCAAACGGGTCCCCGTTGACCCAGTGGAATTCGTCCCCGACTCTGCGTAGTCCAATCCAGGGCTCCCTCCGCGTGAACTTGAACATGAATTCCTGCACGGAGGAAAGAGGGAAACCTCAGGGTCCGACGCGGTCTCCTCACTGCTCTCATATCCCAAGACAAACCTCATCTTGCAAGATCCTGGCTCTCAGGACGTACAGGCCCCAGGAAGATGACTGACATCTCACTGCATCCCGAGAGTGAGAGCCGAGGTTACAGAACCCCCAGCACTCGCAGGGCCTGAGCCTGGCTGGGAGCTGCTCCCTGACCTTGCAGCAGGTGGCTCCAGCAGCCCGCAAGGGCGCCTGGTCCTGTGTGCATGCCCACCGGGCCGGAAGCCTGCGCAGGGCTGTCCTCCCAGGCCAGCGGCCCAGCAGCCCAGCATTCCTGATTTGCAGGAAGCTTGGGGATTGCCCAGTGGATGGGTTATCTGGGACAAATCTCAGCGCTCAGGTTAGTTGTCCTTCTACCTACATGCTTATGGGACTTTCTCTGCAAAAGGGGGACATGGTATTGTGTATCAGAGACAAACAGAAGTTGAGTTTTAGATTATTTGCTATTTTGGATTGCCACACCACTGTTGACCTCAAAATCCAAAATGGCCAACGGGCTCATCAGTTGTGTTTCTTAACACATTTGTATCGACAAATGTGTTTTGGATGTTAAACGAGAAATCATGTCCTGATTTGGAGCAGTGGGAAATGACAACATACTTTTACATTTCATGGTGCGTTTGTAATTCTTACACTTTACAGTGCTGAGTTTAGCAAAGCCAATAGCCTTGGATTGAAGTAAGTGTCCTTGACAATAGAAGTGGAAACTAGAGCCATGCAGTGACCTTCTCAGAGCCTGCAGGGTCCACCTGCACACCCCATGGCTGTGCAGTGGCTGGATGGCTCTGGGGACATGTCACAGGGGTCCCTGAGTCCACGGAGTATGGCTGTCCCCTTAGACTTGGCGGTGCTGAGGGTCCCTGCCCCGCACCTCAGCACACTCACCATCTCCTTCTGGCTCTGGATCACAGCCAGCGCGGCCTCGTGGGTGTGGCAGTACTGCCTGCCCGTGTTCCAGTCTCTCTGTTCCTCAGAAAAGAAGTAGCACTTCCTTCCGTAGAGCAGCCAGTCCTCCGGGCAGGGCGCTTCGCACTTGATACAGCCCTTGGAAGCTGCGGGGAGGAGAGACAGGCTCTTTGCCATCGTGCCGGGCCACCACCCTGTCCCCCAGATTCCCCCTCTGCTTCCCAAGGTCCCCTCCACCTGCCTTGACGTTGGTGCCCTCCTCACAGGTAAGCGCCTCTCATAGCGCCTGGAGGTAAAGGGTTGGCGACTAAACCAATGAGGAAGGGGAAGCTGGGAGGCACCTCCCCACGAGGGCAGGTGACAGCAGGTCAGCCCCTGGGTTAGGACCTCCTCTGTCTCTGAACTCCCAAGGCTTGGGACCCTGGAAACTCAGACTGGGAAGGGACCTGGAAGCCACATGCCTTTTCTCTCCAGCCAGGGTGGGAGCCACTTGCAGGAAGGACTGCCCGCTCTCATTAACTACGCCTTGTTAGCTAACAAGGCTGCCTGTTCCACTGCTGAACTGCTGGAAAGTTCTTTTGAAATATTAATATTTAGTCCCAACCTGGCCTCTTGTTACCTAGACCTACTGATCTAGGATCTGCCTTCTGGAGTGACCCAGAAGCAAACTCATTCTGTCTTCTACCTCCTACCTGAAGGACACCAGCCTCCCCTGCCATGTCTTCATGATTCCTGGCAGGACCTGCTCACCGCAGTGTCCCCACACTGCCACTGAAACGCTGCCACCAGGACAGACTGGGGCACATCAGATGTGGCTCTACCAGCAGCAAGAGTGACCACAATGCTGTCTTCCAGGTGTCATGGGCTCTCCAGTCTGCAGGCTGCTTTAATGCACAGACTCCGTGGCTGTGTGCATACGTGCACTTTTCTGGGAAGCAAGCCCAGAGCTCCCGGCAGAGTCTCAAAGGGCCTCCTTGCCAAAAGGAATTAAGCCACAGTCTTAGATTGTTTTCATATGATCTGTTTCCAAGCCAGGTCTCCCCAGTGTCCAGAACGTGTGAAAATCTCTTTTAAAATCCAAATGCAGAAGCTTATGTTTATTTCTTCCACATTTAAATCATTCACTTTGGCTCATCATGTGAGTTTTTTAAAAATAAACTTTAATCTTGATTTTTCCCCCCATCTGTCATATGGAACTCTGTATTTGGATTGTATCAGCTGCAAATTCCATAAGCATATTTTTTGTTTGTTTTCACACAAGTGATTGATTAAAATGTAGACCAGGACCAAGTCAAGAACAGGCCCTATGGTACCCAAGCCCCTAGGGATCTACAGCCATGTGGACACCAGTTAATTAATCGCCACTTCCTGGGCACATCTGTTCAGTGAGATACAAGTGGACTTGGGAATATTGACCATTTCAACTGCTTCTCCACAAGGATCTCCTAAGAAACTGTTGTGTTTTATTGAAATCCCAATGTGCTATGTCTGCACATTGCCCTGGCCTCCCAACCTAGCAAAACAGTAAAAGGAAAGAGACTGATTTAATTTGTAGAGATTATTCCAGGGGAACCCAATCTGGCCCCAGTGTTGCCATATCCATTTCTAAACACAAGCCTCCTGCTTGTCATATAAGCCCCACAGGGAAAGATTTGGTAGGAACAGGTGTTGTTGGGGACTTTTTCCCCGCATGTTGAGAAATCCACCTCTGGTCTTCAGCACTCCTCAAAGATTAAGGACAGAGGCACTGAAATCACTTTTTCAAACGCTTCAGGACCCACCTCATACTTTGACTCGAATCCCTTAAAAGTAGCCACATTCCCTGTTCATACAGCCCCACCTGTCCTTAGTGGCAGTTTTCGCCTTTTTTATTTGTTTAACCCTTTCAGTATCTCAGGCATCTCCCAGGTGTGAGTATATTATCTTAGGCTAAAATCCCATCCACAGCCAACACTATATTTTTTCTACATTGTCCCCCACAGAAGCCTGGGCTGTCTGGAACCTTTCTTCGCCTAGTTAGAGGTGCTTTTGACAAAGGGTGTGCACAGGGAACTGCATAAAGGGCCTGGCATGCACGCTCACCCAAGATGCTCATCACCACCAGGATGGCGAACAGAAGGACCGCGATGGCGCCCAGCAGGAGACGCGTGGTGGTGTCTGCGGAGAAGAGAGAGGGGTTCAACTGCCGCCCACCGCCAGCCCCCAGCCCCACGAGTGAGACGCTTAGGGGGTGCAGCCCAGCAAGGTGAGTTTTAACAAGCCCTCCAGGTGACTCTGAGACCCCTCGGAGTTTGAGAACTGCTGGTCTAGAGCGCAGCTCTGACGCTGTGATTCCCCCACTTAAAACTCTCCCCGCAGGGCTCCCTGCTGCCCGCAAACTTCTCCCGTGACAGGCAGAGCTGTCCGCCTTGAATCGCCTGCTGCTTTGCTACCTGAACCCAGGTTTCAGCCAGTCAGACTCCTGGAAATACCCGTTCATCCAGCCCTTGCAGCCCTGCCCCTAGATCTTTGCTCCCAAAGTTCTCCTCCTCCACCTATACCTCTTGATATTCAACCACCTCTACTCCATCCCTCCTCTTCCTGATCCTCTGGGTTCTCCCTTTTAATTTTCATTTGTTTATGTTTTTTATTATCACTTAGCATTTGGATTTTGTATTCAATGAAAGAATCCTTTCAGATTTAAGGCATGAGGTATTTTTAAGATTTTTTAAAAATATATATATAGCACTCTGGGAGGCCGAGGTGGGAGGATCGCTCAAGGTCAGGAGTTCAAGACCAGCCTGAGCAAGAGTGAGACCCTGTCTTTACTAAAAATAGAAAGAAATTAATTGGCCAACTAAAAATATACAGAAAAAATTAGCCGGGCATTGTGTGCATGCCTGTAGTCCCAGCTACTCAGGAGGCTGAGGCAGAAGGATTGCTTGAGCCCAGGAGTTTGAGGTTGCTGTGAGCTAGGCTGATTCTACAGCTCTCTAGCCTGGGCAACAGAGTGAGACTCTGTCTCAAAAAAATAAAAAATATATATAACATAAAATTTGCCATCGTGATCATTTTTAAGTATACTATTAGTGGCATTAAGGTACATTCACAATGTTGAGCAATCATCACTGTCTGTTTGCAAAAGTTTTCCATCATCCCAAACAGAAGCTCTGTACCCACTAAACAACAGCACCCCATTCCCTCTCCCCTGGCACCCACCCTTCTACTTTTTATCTCTATGAATTTGACGGCACTAGGAACATCGTACAGTATTTGTCCTTTGTGCTTGGTTTCTTTCACTTAGCATGTTTTCAAGGTTCATCCATGTTGCTCCATGTATCAGAACTTCATTCCTTTTTAAGGCTGGATAATATTCCACTGTATGGATTTAACCACATTCTGTGTATCCACTCCTCTGTTGGTAGACACTGGGGTTGTTTCCACCTTTTGGCTATTGTGAATTTGTGTACAAATACCTGCTTGAGTCCCTGCTTTCAATCCTGTTGGGCAGATGGCCTAGGAGTGGAGTTGCTGGATCAGATGGGTTCTGTTTAACTTTCTGAGGAACCATCGAACCGTTTTCCATGGCAGCTGCACCATTTTACATTCCCACCAGCAATGGACAAGGTTCCAGTTTCTCCTCATCCTCACCAACACATGTTGTTTTGCATTTTTTTCCAAGAACTGGTGCCAGAGTAATTATATTTTTTTGATTATAGCTATCCTAGTATGTGTGAACTCCCTTTTAAAATGTTTTTTACCATCTTAACCATTAAGTGTGCAGTTAAGTATAGTTACTTTGTCGTGCATCCCTTTTTTATTTTTGTTTTTTTTAAAAAAAGTCACAGTTATGTACAGACATAGATGAAAAGAGTACTCCATGGCCCAGTGCTGGCCTGTCAATTGTCACTCATCCGTCACTATGTGAGTACCAACATGGAGAGGAAGAATTTGCAGCAATTCACCGCTACTCTGACATCCAAGTGCATGATTTTGTTTCTAGTTATTCATTTGTATTGCATTTTACAAAGGATTTTGGAAAAGAAACCTGTTTCCTTCATCAAGGATAGTCTGAAAACCACAAATTTAAAGAATCAAGAAATTCTAAAAGGCTTCATTAAAAATGATGACATTGCCCCTTCCCCACGGACTACCACTTTCAACTCTTTTAGCTGACTCTTTCAGTATTACCTCCAAATCTCAAATGCCAGATGTATGTCAATAGTTCTAGGCTTTTCCATTTTAGATAGAGTTTATTGACTTCCCTCTATAATGAGACTTAATTCTCTCTGCATTAGCATCCTACACTGACCACTTACCCCTGGCCCTCTCAACACCATAGCTTAGTGTTAGGTTGATAATCTGGTTTATCTTCTTAGGACAAGGCAAATGGTGTTCCCAGCAAAGCCATGCAGTGTGTTACAATCTGTTCATTTCTACAGAACTTTTTGTTTCCTGTTAGTTAATCATGCACTTCTATTCCTCTTCTTAGTCTTCTGTGTCCTTATCATTATTTTGCCCCAAAACTCTTCTTTGATGATGAGACTAATCAGAAATTCTGTCTCACCTTTGTCTTAGTCAGCTCGGGCCACTATAACAAATCTCATTGATTGGGATGGGGGCTTAAACAACAGACATTCATTTCTCACAGTTCTGGAGGCTGAAAGTCCAAGATCAGGGTGCCAGCATGGTTGGTTCTGGTGAGGCCTCCTTCCTGGCTGCCTTCGCACTGTGTCCTCACAGAGTGGAGAGAGGAAGTTCTGGTGTCTCTTTCTTTTCTTTCTCTTTTTTTTTTTTGAGACAGAGTCTCGCTTTGTTGCCCAGGCTAGAGTGAGTGCCGTGGCCATGCCCAGCTAATTTTTTCTATATATATATTAGTTGGCCAATTAATTTATTTTCTATTTATAGTAGAGACGGTGTCTCCCTCTTGCTCAGGCTGGTTTCGAACTCCTGATCTCGAGCAATCCGCCCGCCTCGGCCTCCCAGAGTGCTAGGATTACAGGCGTGAGCCACCGCACCCGGCCTCTTTCTTTTCTTATAAGGGCATTAATCCCATCATGGAGGCTCCACCCTCAGGACCTCATCTAAACCTGATTACCTCCCAAGACCCCACCTCCTCAATACCATCACATTAAGGCTTGGGGATTCAACATACAAATTTTGGGAGGAAACAAACATTCAGTCCATAACAACCTTCTCAAAGAAGCATTATGGAACCTTCTGACCTGCTGCAATCTGACTCATTGCCTTCTAAGCCCAGCAGCCCTCCCTGTACCAGCAGCCTGAGGGTTTCTCTGCCTCTCTCCTGTGTTGGCTCTTCTGTTCCTTCTCCCCCATGTCTTCCCTCTTTCTTGGTTTACCCCCTCATCTTGGTGGACACATGGTCCAATGGCTGCCTGAGAAAGGGTATGGCAGAACCAGCACTGATCTGGTCCAAGGAGCAACAGTTCTCACTGTGTTCCATGGTGAATGGTGCCCCTGGAGTCATGAACTCAGAGGCCTAACTAATATAGGTTGGAAGTAATTCTCCTGCAGAATTTTAAAAGTACTACTTAATTATCTTTAGATCTAGTCTTGCTTTTGATAAGTCTAGATCCATTCTCACCCATGATCCTTTTAATTTCAATTGCTCAATTTTTTTTCTAGAAGCTTTTAGGATCTTTTGTTTATCACACAGCATGCTAAGGTTTCAGCATGCCTGCCATGCCTTGGTGGAGTCTGTTTTCATCTACTATAATAGGCCATCAGTGTGCCCTTTCCATCTGGAAGGTCATGTCTTTCAGTTCCAGGAAATTTTCTTTCATTATATCATTAATTATTTCCTCCCCTCTGTTTTCTGCTTTATTTCTGGAAGTTGTATTCCTCAAATGTTGGATCTCTTAGATGGGTCCTCCAAATTTCTCTTCCTTCTTTTCCCCTCTTATTCACTATTTCTTTGCCTTTTTGCCCTATTTCCTGGAAGATTTTCTCAACTTTATCTTCCTAATCTTCCTACCCTTCTACTGACTTATTTATGTGATTAAATTTTTAATTTCCAAGGTTTTTTGTTTTTGTTGCTGCTGTTCCATGAATACCCTCTCTTAAAACAACCTATTCTTGTTTTAATGATGCAATATTTTCTCTCATCTCTTCTTTCTGACAATATTTTGACAGTTTGGGGGAGAGGGGGTGAAGAGGTAGACAGAAACTTTATTCCTCCCTATATAGTCTCTGTTTCCTCCAAGTTGCCTTTTCCCTGTTCGTCTAGCTTCCATGTTAGAGACTCTCCTCAGTTGTCTGGAGATCCGTGACTATCTGTCCATGATTAAGGCAGGAGGACTAAAGAGTTGGTTGGAGCCTCTGAGTCCATGAGTGGGGCTTATTAACTGCTGGCTGGACTGGTCTTTGAGGCTCTCTGAATGTTAATCTCCTTAGACTTTTCCTGTTGGGTGGACCAGAGTCCCAGCAGAAGGCTCTTGTGTCTTCTCTACTGGAGGGGTACAGCCCACTGGGGGAGGGGGCTGGGAGGCTGTCCTCAGCATTCAATGTGCCTATGTTGACTTAGTTGCTTGCTGACCCTGTGTTGGTGTCTAGAGGCCCTCTCTTGAGGGATTTCACCTCGAGTTTCCTGCCCAGGCCAGGGAGAGGCTATAATGACTGGGGATCTAATACTCCTTAAAGAAATACTCAGCCTGTCCTCCTCTTCTCAGCCCCATCTTCACCCACTGCCACCAACCCTGAGCCTCAGGGGTCCTCCTGTGGGACTCAGGTGGCTCCTCTGCTTTCTGAACTTCATTTAGTGGGGTAAAGTGAGTTACTACTCATCCATTTGCTCCCTAGCTCCCAATTTGGTGGCTGTTGTCTTCTGTTCTTGTTGTCCTGATGGCCTTTTGTATTAGTGGGCCTCTGAAGGGAAGCATTTGCCTGTCATCTTGACGTCACTGCAGGTCCAACAAACATTTGGAGTCTTTCCTATGAGCAAGGTCTTTGCTGGCAGGTGACCAGGAGTCCCAGGTGAGTGGCTTCAGACATGGTAAGGACAGAGGCTCCAGCCTCCATGGAGAACTGGGCTCTCTCTGTGTCTCCTTTGCCGTCCTTGGTGGCAGCTTCATTATAAACTGAGTCCCTTAGATCTGTGTAATGGCTGCCTGTGGCAAGCGCGTGTGTGCGTCCTTCCTCTCTCTTGTTCACACGCCTGCCGTCCTCTTCTCTAGCTCTGCAACTGCAACCCCTGTGCACGGAAGCTAAGAGCACAGCATCCCAAACCCCTTCACCTGGTTCAAACCCCAGCTCTGCCACTTTCTAGATGTTTGCTGATGGTAAAATTACTTAGCCTCAATTGTAAAATTACTTAGCTTCATTTTTCTCATCTTTAAAACAAGGTCATGCTAGTATCTGCCTCTTAGAGCTTTATGAGAATTCAACATGTAATGCTTACAACAGCGCCTGGCCCGGTGAGTCTGTTGAACTGCAAGCGATTGTTTGTACCATCGTTGTAATTGTAGCTAGCAGCCCTGGGCTCTTGTAGGGTAAGGTCTGTGCTTTACTCACCTTTGGGTGCCCTAAAACCCAGGGCTGGGTCATTGCCTTGCAGGTTACAGGGCACCCACTCGGACTCAAAACATATGAGGAAAATGTAGTTATACTGAATGACAACCTCCTTGGTCAGCCTTAAATTAAACTGAGTTTGGGCTGGGCACAGTGGCTCACATCTATAATCCCAGAACTTTGGGAGGTTGAGGCAGGAGGATCACTTGAGGCCAGGAGTTCCAGACCAGCCTGGGCAACATAGCAAGACTCCATCTCTACAAAAAAATTTTTTAAAAGATTAGTCGGGCATGGTGGCACATGCCTGTAGTCTCAGCTACTTAGGAGGCTGAGACAGGAGGATCGCTTGAGCCCAGGAGTTTGAGGATGCAGGGAGCTATGATCGAGCCACTACACTCCAGCCTGGGCAATAAATAAATAAACTAAGTTTGAAGAAAAGGCCACATGGGAAAGGGGAATCTGCACATGTATCTCCAATATTACCAGAATTAAGGTGCTTCTTCATTCTTTGGTAAGAATAATTGTCTCTAGACACCACACTGTGGACACAGGACATGCGAGGGAGTCCCCACTCATCATTCACTGTCTACCGTCTCAGAGGATGGCTGCGGGGCCTCGAGATCCAAAAGAATGTCCTATTTGTTCCTTAGGGCTGCCTAACAAAGTACGACAAACGGGGTGGCTTGAACACCAAAATATTATTCTCTCATAGTCGTGGAGGCTAGAAGTCTAAGATCAAGGGGTGGCAGGGCCACGCTCCCACTGAAATCCGTAGGGAAGCCTACCTGGCCTCTTCCTGGCCTCTGGTGCTTTGCTGCGGTCCTTGGCAGTCCTTGGAGGCCCTTGGCTTGCAACCCCATCACTCTAGTCTCTGCCCTCATTGTCACATGGTGTCTTCCTGTGTGTTTCTGCCTTCATGTGACCATGAGGACAGCAGTTCATACTGGATTGGGGCCCACCCTACCCCAGTCCAACCTCATCTCAACTAATTACATTTGCCACAACTGTATCTCCATGTAAGGTCACACTATGGAGGTCCTGGGGCTAGGACTTCCACATGTCTTCTTTGGTGGGGATACAATTCAACTTCTAATGAATATCTAACTCAGTAATCACCCCTACTATGCTTTGGCTCATATTATATGGAGTTCAAGGGTGTAGAATTTTGGTTTTGTTTGGGTTCTTTGGTGGAGACAGGGGTCTTACTATGTTGCTCAGGCTGGTCTCAAACTCCTGGCTCTAAGTGACGCTCCTGCCTCAGCCTCCGAAAGTGCTGGGATCACAGGCCTCAGCCACCGTGCCCGGCCTGCAGGTTATTTAGGTTTCTAAATGTGTGCAATTTAACCTAATATTAGAAGGAACTGAAAAAATCTGATTCCAAGCCCAGACAATCTCCCAGCATCCTCACACTCATTTCCCAAAAAAGGCCCAGGGCTGATGTCTCCACGTCACCGGTAGCTCAGCCTGCTGAGCACAATCTTGACTGCTAAAAATTATCAAACCTGGAGTTTGGTAATTTTAGAATTTTTAAGAGGCTTTTCTAAATGCATGTGTGTGGTTTTGATCAGGAAGTTGTGGGTTTGTGCCTAATCAAGAAACTTTCAACATTAAAAATTCAGAATCGGTGAGCACTAAAAAATCTATAGCCTGAGGCTCGCAGGATCACGCTGTCCCCTCTCGCTTACCCCCGGCCACTCTGCCCACTGCCATGCCCAGTGCCAGAAACATCCCCATCTCGAATCTCCTCCAGTGTCTCCAGAACCCAGACCGGAGTCCTGGGTCACCTTTTCCAGCCTGTCACCCCAGGCTGGGGCTGGAAGGAAAAGTTCATATCCACGGGGAGAGAAGACTTGATGAGAGGAACTTCTGTTTGGCTTTCTATTTATAAAGCTAATTATTCATCTGTGAGAGTCTTAAACACCTGGTCTCTAATCCCAGCACTCTGATTTAAGAAGCTCTCTGACTCACTTAACCTGTAAGGAGGGAAAAAATTGTCGAGCCCGGAGGTGGCAGGGTTGTCTGAGAAGCAGAGTTGTGGAACATGCACATGGGATTCGATGGTCCCCTGTCTTTGGCCACTAAGGGAAGGGTAAGTGCTTCTGTGTCCGAGGCCCTCTGGCATGCCCTGCAGGGGTTTCTCATGTTAGCGACCAAGCATGTCTCTGGGCAAGACACTCGGACTCTCAGTCTCGGTTCCCCCATCTAGAAAATAGATGCAACATCCACCAAAGCCCTGCAAGGGGAGAGGTGAGGACTGAATGAGAAACAGCTGTGAAAGCCCCCAACCCAGGGTGCAGCCCAGAGTGCGTGCCTGGCAAACACTTGGCGCATGGTATTAAAGGAGAAGAGCCCTTCGGGGTGCTCTGGTCCATCAAGCCAAGAAGTATCCCATTTCTCTTAAGGCAGGTGCTTGGCTAAGCAGGAGCTGCAAAGCCCCTGGGTCCCCACAACTGGCAGATCCCTTGTCCCATTGATGGTGTTTCATTCCTTCGACTCCAGTTCGGAGTGGAAGTGGACTCAAGGCAGGCAGACCAGCAGTCACAGGATTTCAGCTGGGCCTGGGCCCCCATCGGGCTTTAGGATGCTCTGTGCAGGGGGTGGGAAGAGTCAAGGCACATACAGCCCACACTCCAGGGCCTCCGTCTGTATAGCCCTGAGAGGTAGAAATCACCGCCTGACCTAGCAGCTAAGGAAACTCATGCTCAGACAAGTCCCCAAACCCGCCAGCCCACAGCGGTGAAGGCTCTGACTCCAGTCTCCAGACACCGTGTTCTTTGCACCTCACCACACTGTCTCAGCCCATCCTGGGATATACGCGAGGACAGGGATGTGCCCAGGGCCGAGAACTGTGCCTGGAGCTTACAGAAAGAATGAATGACTGTGGGAGACCAGTGCAAAAGCCACTGGGCTGATGTGGTCACAAGCTGCAGAGGACCAGACTTGGTCTACGAGCTCCCCTCTTCTAACAGGAAACAGGGGCACCCACAGAACAGCCAGGAGACCCTCAGGGGGCCCTCAGAGGGAGGTCCCTGGCAGGAACCCAGGCAGTCCATAACCTCCACCTGCTGCCTTTGGGCCAAACGCTGATATTACTGTCCCCACCTCTCCCTCCTCAGCCTGCACCACCACCAGTCCAAGGACAAACCCCCTGTCTGGGTCCCCCAGCCTCATCTTTCCCCACCCCACCCCCAGCCCACTACGCTGGTGTTCAGTTCCCCACATGGGACAGGCTAGCTCCAGCCACCTGGCCTGAATTACTCCTTGAGCCTAATGCACCCTTCTGTCTCTGCTCCGCATTCCCTGAGAGGTCACCTACTCCAGGAAGCCCACCTTTTCTGACACCCTCTCCTTAAAGATAGGTGATCCAGGCTCTGGGCTTCCCTAGGTAATGCTGTCCAGGTACTCTTTGGCCCCCCAGACTCAGGTTGCCAAGAGCACGCTGAGAAGCATCTAGAGTGCGGCCACTCTCTTGCCCATTCCAGCGTCTCCCACACAGCGCACCACCAGCTGCGGCTAACAGGAGTTTCCTAAAAGAACTCATGAACTTGAAACGGATCTTCCACTCTGGTTACTGTCCCCATGGCCAGCCAGGGGTCACTCCCTGAGGCAGTCTGACTGGAAGGAGTGGGTGGCACCATGACCTTGCAAGGAAGAGCCTCTCAGGGACTGTCCACCCCTCCCCTGCCGTGCCCTCCCCACACGGCCTCCAACTGCCACCCCCTCCCCACCCCCAGCAGGGGCTGGCGCTGTCTCCGGGGTCTACAGTTTTTGCGACTTTGCTCAAAGCATCTTCACGGCTGCAGATTCAGGTCACCCTCCCAACGTGCCCCTCTCAGCGGTTCCGGAGAGTAACTGACCCCTTCACGCTGGGGAAACTAAGGCTCGGAGTGTGAGGCTTGCTCCCAAGGTCAAAGAGCCAGTTGGCAGCAGAGGTAGGGTCGAGGCTGTGCGTCGAGGGGGTCCCTGTTACCTCCCCCAGCACCCACGAAATGCATCTGACTGCCCCAAGATCAGCGAATGCTCCGGGGCGCAGCGCTGCGCTCCTCCCTCCTCCGGGAGAGCGGCCAAGGTGACTCTGACCGCTCGGTCCCGTCCCAGGTCGGGGCCGGGCGGGGGTCCCGGGCCGGGGGAGGGGGCCGCTCCGCGCTTACCCTCCAAGGCCGCCTTCCAGCTGGTGCTGCCCTCGTAGCCCGACCCGGATCGCCGCAGCAGCCCCTCGGGGCCGCGGTCACCTCCGCTACCGTCCGCGGCCGGCCTCGGGCGGCGCGGCCTGGGCGCGCGGCGGGCGGCGCGGGCGTGGCGGGCGGCGGCGCCCGGGCCGCGCGGGGCTCCCGCCCGGCGGCTCCTGCGCCGGCTCCATGCGGGGCGCTCCGGCACGCCGCGCCCGCGCTCCTGCGCCCGGATGCGGGGCCCCGCCCGACACGCACTCGGCGCTCCGCGCGCCCTGCGGGCCCCCCAGGCCGGCCCGGTGCGAGGGCCGGCGTCCGCACCCTGGCCCGCCGCGCTCCGGAGCCGCGCCGAGCGCGCCGCGCCTGCCCTGCCCCGCCGAGCCGCAGCCGCCCGCAGAGCCGGCGCCCCAGCAGCGCGGGCGCGCGGGAGCCGGGCACGGGGCGGGGTGGCAGCGGGGGTGGAGGCGCGCGGGAGCGGGGACAGCCGGGTCCCTAACCCCGCCACCCGCTCCCTCGCAGAGGCGGATGCTGCAGAGCCAGGAGCGCGGTCTTGGAGCCAGCAGACCTGCTTGTAACGCAGCTCCACCTCCCCAGACTCCTGCCCCTCATCTAAGACGGGGATCAAGTTTACAGGGACGATGCCATGAGTCTGAAAGCCTTCTTTCCTCTGGGCTGCCTGGAGCCCGAGCAGAGGGGCGGGGGCTGTGACTTGACCCCTAGACCCTTGGCGAATGAGAGAAACGTTGGCTGTGAGCACAGAAAGCACAGTCTGAGGGAACGAGTGCAGCCACGTTCCAGATGCAATTAGCATTTATTGAGCATCTACTAAGCGTCAGGGCTCTCGCGTGCACTGGCTGACAACATCCCCAGTTTAGGCTGGGAACTGGAGTCAAAGAGGTCAAGGACGTGGCTGGGGGCGGCGTCCCGCAGGTGCGGGGTTGGCGGGTGTCTGTCTGACTCCCAGGCCAGGGCCGCTCCGTGGCCTGCACTGGCCTCCGCTCTGCGCAGCCACCCACCCAGCTGCACGCCACCAGCCCCAACCTCTTTTCCTCCCCATCTCACCCCACCTGACTCCTGTCTCAGTTTACACTTCCCCATCCTCACTCCCCCTGCCCTCTCCCTCCAAATCCCATTGACACCAACTTCATGAAGTCTCCGCTTTAAAATCTTAGTCTGCCCATTACGCTTCATCCCTCCAGCCGCCGGCCAAGTACACTCCAGTCGCAGCTCTGTGTGCCCACAGCGGCCGCCTCCTGCGGGTCTCCCGGCCTCCACTCTTGCCCCTCGGATCCAGCCCCTCCCTCTCCGCACCGCCGCATCTTCCTAAAGTGCAACGTCACCAATCCTTCAGCGCTTCCTTTACCTGTGGGCTAAGACCAACTTTTCACAAGGCTGCAAGGTCCCTCACAGTCTGAGCTCTGCTCCTATCTCCAGCTTCCTCTCCTTCCACCCCTTCTCTGCTAGCCCCAGACACACCCAACTATTTTGTCACTTTCCTCCAGGTCTTTGAACACTCTCTCCCCTCTGCCTGGAACATGCTTCCTCCTTGGTCCTTCTAACCCCTCCCTGGAGCCCCCTTGCATCCCAGTTTGCTTATCTAATTTCTGCTAATGCTTCAGATGGCACATACTCTGGGATACTACATTTATTCAGATTAGACTATAACAGAACCCTAATACGAGTGGCTTAAACTAAGAAGATGTTTACATTTTTTTACACAAAAGAAGTCTGAAGGTGATCAACCCAGGACTGGATTGAGAGCTCTAAGGTCATCAAGGACCCCAACACTTTCTTTCTTCTCACCATCCTTAGTATGTGGCATTCACCTTCAAGATTCCCTCATAGTCACAACGTGGCCACTGTAGTTCCAGCCATCACACCTGCAAACCAGGCTGCAGAAGGTAGGAAAGACCAAGGGGAAAGGGGCAGCTCTCTTATTGAATAAGACTCCCTTAAGGGGCTTTTCTGGAACCCCCAATGACTTCCACTTACCTCCCACGGGCTGCTTCTGTCTGTAAGAAAGTCTAAGGAGTATGCTGGTATTTAGCTGCAGCCATCGCCACTCCTGATAATGCAGAAGATCTGCTAGGAAGAAGGGGAGAATGGATTGCATGCATGACCTCAAGTCTCTGCCTCCTAAGCCTCTGTGACCCAGGACCGGGCACCTCTCCTCTGAGCTCTCAGAACACTCTCCACCTCTCTTGCCGCAGCACTTACCACACCCTGCTGTCATTGCGTGATCCCCAAGCCCACGACCAGCTGCACAGGGGCAGGCTCTGCTGTCTCCCCTGTTCCTAGGGCAGTGCCTCCTTGGAACACCGGCCCAAGGCTTCAGACTTCATCACGTAGGTTCAAGGAAGCACCAGAGATATGTGAGCAGGGAAAGATCGTGATCACAACGTGCTTCAAGAAAAGTGATTTTGGTACTAGACACAAAGCTGTTTGGGAGCAGGGAGATCACCAAGGAGGCTCAGAGTAACAAAGGTGTGACAGCAGCGCACTGGCAGTGGAGCTGGCCAGAGGAGCGTTCCAACAGTCAGCATGCTTCTGCACCTTATCAGAGGGAGGAACTAGGCCTCCAGGGGTCCCCACACGCCCTTGTTGCCTTTCCTGCTCCCCTCCTGGTGCTTCCAGGGATCACTTTCCAAATAAATTACCTGCACTCAAATCCTTGGGTCAGGGTCTGCTTCTAGGAGAACTCAAACTAAGACAGTGACCCTTGGTGTCCATTATCATGAACATCCCTTTCTTGAGGAAGCAGCCCCTTTCAGAGGTCTCTAATGTAGACAGGGTTAGGGTTAGTGTTAGGGCTAGGGTTGACTGGACTTGAAAAGTCACAGCCTTTCCCCTCAATACTGGCACATGTCAGAAGTCAGTGAAATCCTCTAAGATCTGCAACCAGACTGCCCTTGTCTACACCTTGCTGTGGAACGCCAGGGAGGTCTTCGCTCTTAGCAGAAAGGGCTGGGAACAGATCAGTTATAACAACAGATATAAATAAGTAATTCCCTGTAACATCCATACCTCAACAAAGTGAAAAAAATTGTCAAACCAAGAGAAGGAGAAGAAACACTAAGCACTGGTAGTAGAAGGTGTTTTATTGCATGGTTATATTTTGGCACATTCTCCTTTACAGAGTCTGTTCTTGGCTGTTAACAATCAAATCCACAGGGTGGGTGGGGAAAAGAGAGCTGTTGGTCAAAGGGTACAAAGTTTCCAGTAGGAAAAATAAGTTTATTGAAATCCATTGCACAGCATGGTGAGTGTAGTTAATAATAATGTACAGTATTACATATTTCAAATGTTCTCACCACAAAGAATAAGTGTTTGAGGTGATAGATATGTTAATTAATTTGATTTAATCATTCCACATCACATACACATATAACATCACTTTATATTCCATAAATATGTATAATTATTTGTCAATTTGCAATAAATTAAAAAAAATAAAACAATTGAATTTTCATTGCCAAGTCCATGTGAGTATCACCCTGTGACCTTCTAGTGTGCTTGGAGCCATAGGGTCTTCAAGGTCCTCCTTCCTTGGGTTCAGGCAGACACTGGTTTTTATGGAGTAGGGGTGCAGCCTTCTAGGGAAGAGTCGCCTCTCCATGGGCAGGGCCTCGCCTCTGTAGAGCTGTACAGCATTTCTCTGTTTCCCTCTGGACCGTGGCTCTTCTTGCTGGAACGCATCTCCCCAGCAGTAAGGACCACGCCTCTGTCTCGTCCTTTGCCACAGGTGCCCGGTGGTGTCATTCTTCCTCAGCTCATTCTTGTAGCTTTCCTCCCAGGCCAGGTGATGACTCAAAAGCCTGTCCGTGCTCAGCCAAACCCTGCGGTGCGGCCTGTGTGTGCAGCCCCAAACGGATCCCTCCAAGCAGAGACAGCAGGACAGTCAAGAGGCTCTGGCCAAGCGATTTTCAGATCCCAGAGCCAGTTGTGGGAAGCGTTGCCAATGACACGGTGGCCCAGGAAATGAGCCTGGGCTTGCGAGTTCCCGAGTCTGTGAGCATCAAGAGGATTCCAAGCAGCTGGTAATTTTGCATGGTCAAAGGTTTTCCTCAGTTGCTCCAAAGGTTGTTCTAGGGAAGGAAGAGAGTCCATAGGCATTAAAGTATGTGAGAGTGGCCGGGCGCGGTGGCTCACGCCTGTAATCCTAGCTCTCTGGGAGGCCGAGGCGGGCGGATTGCTCGAGGTCAGGAGTTCAAAACCAGCCTGAGCAAGAGCGAGACCCTGTCTCTACTATAAATAGAAAGAAATTAATTGGCCAACTAATATATAGAAAAAATTAGCCGGGCATGGTGGCTCATGCCTGTAGTCCCAGCTACTTGGGAGGCTGAGGCAGCAGGATTGCTTGAGCCCAGGAGATTGAGGTTGCTGTGAGCTAGGCTGACACCATGGCACTCACTCTAGCCTGGGCAACAAAGTGAGACTCTGTCTCAAAAAAAAAAAAGTATGTGAGAGTGAGGAAAGACCTCCCGAGGATGGATAAGGAGGCGAGTCTTGTCTGCACCAAGACCAGACACACAGTCCACTCCTGGTTGGTGCAGCAGGGCCTGGAGATCACCCGTGGGGTTAGCAAGGCTCAGCCCCTGGGGGCCAGATGCCAGCTTCTCTGACTGCTCAGTTCCCTTAGGGTCTCAGGGGCATCCTGGCTTTTGCTTCCAGTTAATGCCATGGAGAGTAACAAAGCCAGAGATCTGGCCAAGGGGCAATCTTTGATTCTAGGATCTGTCCTCAGCTTTTCTGTCTCTTGGAACAGACCTCAGTGTTCTGATTAACCCTAAGGGACCCCATCTCAGCCTCGGCCTTGGGGTGACCAGGCTCTTGTGAGGAGGTGCTTAGAAGAGGCAGAAGGCCCAGCCATTACAGAGCCCTTGTGGTGCAAAGGGCCTGACCCAGACTGCCCAGACACTGTCCTGGCTCTGTCACTTACTTCATCAGAGCTTATTTATTTAATGTCCTCTTCCCTTTTTTTTCCTCATATGTAAAACAGTATGGATTTCACAGGGCATTGTAAGAAGGGATGAGTTCATATATGTAAAATAGTTATAAGAGACACCGGAATGTGCGTTGTTCTCCTTGTTCTCCTAAGCCCCAAGCCGATCTCCTCCTATGCCTTCTGCCTCCCTCCTGTGCTCCAAGTAGCGTCAGCTGCAGATAACTCTGCTTTTCCAACGTGCCAGGGCCGGCTCTCAGCCACGTTGATGGCAGGCCACAGGCAAAAAGGACCTTTCTTAACCAAGCCGTATTTTCTTCCTCCTGTGTGTGTCTTTTTGTCAATTGTGGTACAACACACATAACATAAAATTTACCATCTTAACCATTTTTAAGTGTCCAGGGTAGTGGCATTCAGGACATTCACATGCTGTGCAAGCATCACCACTGTCGTCTCCTCAACACTTCTCATCTTGCAGAACTGAAACTTTTCCCCATTAAACAACAACTCCCCATTCCCCCTCCCAGCCTCCTGACAACCATCTTTCTACTTTCTGTCTCTGTGAATTTGACTACCCTAGGGACTGCACAGAAGTGGGATCGTACCGTCCTTGTCTTTGGGACTGGCTGATTTCACTCAGGATAACGTCCTCAAGGTTCAACCATGTCGTAGCATGTGTCAGAATTTCCCTGTGGTCTACTTCTTTCACGTGGGATCATAACCGAAATTGGCAAGAAGAGCTCATCAGCTCTCTCTCTCTCTCTCTCTCTCTCTCTCTCTCTGTCTCTCTCTCTTTTTAACCTGCAGTGCATGAGGAAGCTTTCTCTCTTAAGCCCTCTAATTCTCCAGCGCTGGCAGACACCTAGTTTGAGTGGCAGCAATTTAGTTAGTTGCTTCATTACTGCATAACAAGAATGGCCAACTTGGTAGCGACAAATAAAAGGGTCTCAGCCAACTCTGTACTCTAGAGTCACTCACCATCCCCCATTCCTTATGAGTCTTTCTATATCAAGGCTCTTTCCAAGGTGAGCAACAGAAAGCCCAGCTCACGTTGGCCCAGGTGAAAGAGGAGTTCATCGGCACACGCAACTGAGGGTTCGGGGTAGGGAAGGAGGGGCTGCCCCTGCAACCCACACCACACTCCCCAGCCCCAGCATCAAGACAAGCGCCATGTCCCTGCACATTTGGCTTTGTTCTTCTCCAGTGAAAGCTGTATTCTCAGACCCCACACAGTGGGAAGGTGGCTTCCAGCACTCCAAGCCTGTATCTCCCCAGGTGCAAAGCCAGCAGAAAAAAAAGAGCTTCTCTTCCTTTAATGGTTCAAATAAAGTCCTTGTCCTGATTGGCACCCAGCATGGTCGTGTGTCCATCTCCGAACTGCTCACCATGGTAAGGCCTGGGTCAGATGTCCAACCCTGGAGCTTGGGTCAGGGTCATCCCCTCTCAAACCAGAGGATTAAAAGTGGAGGAGTCATGGCTGGGCCCGGTGGCTCACACCTGTAATCCTAGCACTCTGGGAGGCTGAGCTCAGGAGTTCAAGAACAGTCTGAGTGAGAGCAAGACCCTGTCTCTACTAAAACTTAAAAAATTAGCCGGGTGTGGTGGTGTACACCTGTACAGCTACTCAGAAGGCTGAGGGCAAGAGGATCACTTGAGCCCAGGTGTTTGAGGCTGCAGTGAGCTATGATGACACCACTGCATTCTACCCAGGGTGACAGAGCAAGACTCTGTCTTAAAAAAAAAAAAAAAGTGGGGTAGACCTGATTCCCCCACTATTACAAGAAGAAAGGGAAAAGTCTCCTGAGCAAGAAAAAACAAGTGTTGCCATATATACAGTGCAATAGCATGCAGCTGCTTAAAAAGAATGAGGCATATGTGTGTACACTGATTTGAAACAATCTCCAAGATACATTAAGTAAGAAGCAAGCAAGGTACTGAAGAGTGTGCGTGTGTGTGCCCATCTGTGTCTACCAAGGATACAGGCGTGCCCGTATAGGCATGAGGAGTTTGGGAAGGATATGAAGAAGCAGTTAATGGTGTTCATCTCTGCAGAGTGGAACTGGGGGTGGGGTTGGAGTGAAGGCTCATTCCTTGTTTCCTAACCCTCTGAATGTTTAACTGAGTACATGTACATTTTCATTAGACATAAACTAACCAGGCCCCACTGTTAAGCTCCATTCTGAATATCTGTATTAAAATTTTTACCTCACAGAGAACAGGAAAGAGTAGAATCTGTGAACCGGATTGAGGGGTGCAGGGGCCCAGAGCAGGAGCTGGGGCAGAGCAGAGCCCCCAGCCCCCACCCCCGTCTCCCCCCCCAGCCCCTAGCACGTTTCTTTGGTCAGGGCAGAGACTGGGGAGACCTCTAGCCAGAAAGGGGTGTTGGGGCTGAGCTGTGAGAGCTCAGGGCTGAGGACTTTTCTTCTTTTTCAGAAATGTGGAGAGAGCTAGCCTCTAGGGAGGCCTGGATTTGGACTCCAGACCCACTTAGGCCCCTCCTCAGCACCCTGGCCCCAAAGCTGCCCCTGAAGTGCTTAATTTTGTTTTGGTCACTAACACCACTTACTGTTATTTACTTGAGGTGATTAGTGTTTATGTCTAGCTGTCGTGGGGCAGAAACATTCTGCAAATCGCTAAGACATGTCAGAGCGACACTTCAGTCTTGTTACTGAGTCCTGGGACAGCGTCCCCTCCTGTGGTCAGACGTCATAACGTGCTGCTCAGTGGCAGGGCCACCTGTGTACCATTTTACAAAATGGGGAGCCCAGGAGACAACCCTGGACTCAGCAACCAGGAACTGTGAGCCATTTTCACAGACAACTTATTTCCCCAGAATACATGAAAATTAAGCTGACATGGTTGAAATACTTCTAATTCCTTGCACAAATCCATTCAACAATTATTAAGCATCGACTACACATGAGGCACTCTGCCAGGTGCTGGGAATACAGAGGGATGATGGAATCTCCCAGGGGGCTCTCTTTCTCTTTAGAAGCTCCCGAGTGAGAGACCCCGGCCTCACTCATCACGAAGGGAGCTGCCCTATGGACCGGCTCTGCAGATGAGAGAGGCATATGCTTAGCATTTCCTGATGGAACCTAAATCTGCAGTCCAGAAAAGCTGGTGCTGGCCAGAAGATTGACTTTTGGTTGGGAATGATGCCTTCGGTAAGAATTCTGCCAGAAACCACTGCCTCCTGCATTAGCCTCTCCCTGGAGGGTAACAGGACCTGCAAGTAACACAAAACTCAACTCACACCAGCTAAGGAAAATAACCAAATCTGATTTCTTTTTTCTAAAGCAACAGAAACAAACACAGATTTTCTTATTATTAATATAAAACTAGTACAAATGCTGTTTTCATGTAAACATGTACATCTTTAAAATAATTTTTCTTTAGAATTTTGTGTACTATTTGTGCTCCTGAGCACTTTTTAAATATATGTAAAACAAATGCTTATGAACTTTATTTTACCAAAGTGAGATGGCTTAATACATTCTGCAGTTTGCTTGTGTCACTTCATATAACTCTATCGCATTCCCTAATAGAATTCCATAGTATGGAGGTACCACCACTATTACTATTTCATTCTTCTCCTATTAAGAGATGTCTAAATTCTTTCTAATTTTCTACTCTACGCACAATGCTGCAATGGACATCCTAGCAACTATACTTCTTCTGTGTCCTCGTGGAAGTGTTTCTGTGGAAGAAATTTCTAGAAGTGGCATTTCTGGGTCAGAAGTTCTCTGACATAGTAGAAGTTGATTTTGAGGTGAAGAACACCGCATGAGTGAACATCCTGCAGACCAGAGGGGCATAAAATAATACACACGATTAATTATTCATGCTGAACTGCAAAGTGTGCCCAAGGGTATGCTTTTTTGCCGTTGACTGGCCTGTTTGGCAATGCTGGAATCAGTTTTCTCCTTAGGACAGAACTCTGCAGAGTAGGATCCCCAGCTCAGCGTCCCCCTGATCCCTCCGATAGTAACTAGTGAAGGGGTCTGGTGGCAGCACCAGTCTCAGTCCTGAACTGGACCCACCAGGTGATGCACACGAGCATGCGCACTGCCGAGCTCAGGGAGCTGCCCCCGCGCTAGCAGGTGCTGCTCCGAACGAGCACAGCGCCCTCGAGCGGCGGTTAGGTGCCAGCACCTGTGCCCGCATGACCCGGGCTGGCCTCTGCGAGTGTAGACAAGGAGCTGGGGTCAATTTCTCCCTTACTCTTCAACTCGTCCGGTAACTCCTGCCGTCTAAACCGCTCCTTGACCGATATTGACAGAGTACGACACTGCAAGCCTCTGGGAGGCTCAGCGCCCCCGTTTTGTGAGTGACCAAGGCCCGGGGCGCGGCGGGGCGGGCCAGAGCGCGCAGCGAGCTCGCACCAGGCCCGGGCGGGCCAGCGCCACAGCTCCCCGCGCGGTCGCCGCTGTCCCCGCGCGCCCGAGGCCTCAGCCCTGCCCCGAGGCGAGAGGAACTGGCGCAGTTGCTGGAAGCCGGTCATGAGGTGAGAAACAAAGCGTCGGGAGGCGTGGGCAAGGCGGTTAGCGTGCAGTGCGGGAACAGGCCCGGGGACAGCTCTCGAATGAAAAAAAAAATGTTTTTTTGAGACAGAGTCTCGCTTTGTTGCCCAGGCTAGAGTGAGTGCCGTGGCGTCAGCCTAGCTCACAGCAACCTCAAACTCCTGGGCTCAAGCGATCCTGCTGCCTCAGCCTCCCGAGTAGCTGGGACTACAGGCATGCGCCACCATGCCCGGCTCTTCTTTTCTATATATATTAGTTAGCCAATTCATTTCTTTCTATTCTCGCTCTTGCTCAGGCTGGTTTTGAACTCCTGACCTTGAGCAATCCGCCCGCCTCGTCCTCCCAGAGTGCTAGGATTACAGGCGTGAGCCACCGTGCCCGCCTCGACTGAAATTTTTAAAGAAGCCACATTCCCGTATCTCAGGCTCCTCGGCTTCCACACTGTGGATTGTTGGGACCGGACGCAGCCTTCACCTCTTTACTTTCCTTGGTTTGGCTCTGGAAACAACGGGGCGAAGCTTTCCTGAAGCGCCGGCGCGTCCCGCACGCTTCCGCGTGTGTGACCCGCAGGTGACCCCGGCGGCCGGGCAGGCGCTCAGGGGCCTGCGCCGCACATTCGCGGGCCAGAGCGAACCCACGTCAAGCTCCCGAACGCGGGCGGCGCGGCTGCTGTTGCTGTCGTGTCATTTTAATTGTTGTTGAATTGTGCCGGCTGTGACCACGCAGGGCCACCCAGGTTTGCCGAGGAAACTGCTCCGCCCTCGGGTCGCGCCGCTCGCGCGCTGCCGGCGCCTGCGCCCCTCGGCCGCGGGTGGCCTTGAGCTCCGGGGTCGGCGCCCGCGAGGCCCCGCGAGGCCCCGCGAGGCCCCGCTCGCCCGCGCGTCCTCTCCCCTCTCTCGGGGCTCAGGTCCCTGCCCTCAGATACTGTTTCATGGAAAAACAGGCTTTCAGGTGCAAAACAGGGTCCCGCGGCCGCGGCGAAGTGCCACTGCCCGTCTGCGCACGGCCCGGCGAGCCGGGAGGAGCTGGCGCGGGCTCGCGGGTCCCCTGCCCGGGTGGACGGCGCTCGGGGAGGGCCGGGGGTCGGCGGGGCCGCCCGTAGGAGCCACGCCTCCGTCCCCTTCCCGCCGCGGGAAGCCGGGCTGCGGGCGAGCGGCACTTTGCCTTCGCGTTACACACGGTCGCCCTCCAGCGGCAGCAAGGACGCACTACTACGTTCTCGCGCGAAGGCGTCCCGCGCTGCAATGCTGGAGCCTTCTGGTTGTGGGGGAAAGCTCCACGCTGGGGAGTGCACCCGGGGGGCACGACTGGTGGCCCTTCGCTCCCGGCCAGCACCCAGGCTGGGGCCAGCACCCCAGAGGGAGGACGGCCTGGTCCACACTCTGGAGTCCAGCCCCGCGTTGACGGTGCCCCAGCGCGGCACGCTCCGCGGAGACCTGTCTGCAAGTAGCACTGACTTAGGAAACCCCATTATTTGTTCGGAGGTGGGACATGTGTTCAGGTAGACAAAGGTGTCAGAGGGGTCTCCACCAGTGACGAAAAGCCCAGAACAGAAGGCTGCTCCTAGCCTCCCTGAGGGCACCTCCAGGTCCAGGGGACAGCAGAACTCCTCTGTCCCTGGAACTGCCTCCTCAGAGCCACCTGGCCCTCACCACACCCACCTGCTCCAGACACAGACCTAAGGAGCGAGAGGGTGTTCTGCGCCCAGCGTGCACTGGGGCAGGGGACCAGACTCCAGTCTCCTTTTTTCCAGTTACCCCCTAATCTTAGCTAGGGATTTCCTTGAAGCCCCAGATTAGTTTCACAGTGGGAAAGCACCCTCCCCGCGTGAGGGACAGCCTCTCCACACAAACCCTGCACTCCCACAGGCGGACCACCCCCTTTCCTCCCTGAGATCGTATGGAGGGGGGGACAGAGTAGCCCTGCAGAGACGGCTAGGCTAGCCTGACTGCTGGGGTTCCCCAGACTTAGAATGTGGGGTACTTAGCGTTACCCACAGCTTCGGGCCTTAGCTAACATTCGTGGGCAAGAGGACAAATCCCCCACGCATGTGAGATAGTGCATTAACAGATGCAGATGCACTCAGGACAGAAGGAGCAATCAGAGCTGCCAGGCGTGTTTGTACAAGTTGCACACTGCACAAAAGTGCCTGGGGGAGGGTTCTTGGGATCTGGAATTCAGCCCTTATCTGATCACGAACCTGTGACTCCTGGCAAGGGGCTACGTCTGCCAGGAGGAAGGGGTGCACTTTTGCAATTCACCTGCTCTCCCTGAGCAGGGCCAGGAGCCTGCCAGGCTATGCCTGCCCAGAAGGACTCCCTTTTTTTCACTTTCACAAAGGCACAGATAGGCTGTGTGCAGCCCTTGGAGACTTAGGGGGCACAACTCAGAGAAAAGGCTCCTTAATGGAGCGTTAGCCCTGGACTCTTTGGCCTCTGTGGGCCCCACTGACCCCTGTCCTCCCACAGCGAGAAATTCCTGGCTGGCGCTCAGAGGACTAGCCTGAGGGCAAACATTTTTCAGGGCTCGTGGTGTCCATCAGGGGGCGCTGCTGAGCAGTGTCAACACTCCTGCAAAAGCCTGGTATGGCTATGAGGTTTTTCCAGGCAGAAAACGTGTATTTGCCACCCTTCTGCTGTGTGCCTCCTGGTTCCTCCAGCCAGGCTGCGGACCGCCTTCCCTCGTTCCCAGAATACCTCAGATACTCAAGTATACCTTGAGCCTGGAAGGGCACAACAGCCCCGGTGGACAAAGATTAGGAGGGGGCAGAGGTGGGGTATGGCTTCTCCACCTGGTCTGTAAAACCTGGACAGTTTAGCACATTTTGATGTGTGGAATGGGACAGTGGTGTGCCTCCTCGTGGCCTGTCAAAGGACTGAGTAAGCCTGTTCGTTTCCTGGGGCTGCTTGGATAAGTATCACAAACCGAGTGGCTTCAACAACAGAAATGTGTTGTCTCACAGTTCCGGAGGCTGGAAGTCCCCGAGCGAAGTGTCGGCAGGGATGGTTCCCTCCGAGGGCTGTGCGGGAGATGCTGTCTCCTGCCTCACCACCAGCTCTGGCCATCTGCTGGCAATCTGCGGTGTTCCGCGGCTTGCAGACACATCACTGGGATCTCTGTCTTCCTCTTCACACTGCGTTCTCCCAGTGTGCGTGTCCCTGTCCAATTTCCCTTTTTATAAGGACAGAGTCATATTGGGTTAGGACCCACCCAAATGACCTCACCTTATGTAGTTACATCTGCAACGCTGTTTCCAAATGAGGTCACATTCTGAGGTACCAAGTGTTAGGACTGCAGCGTGTGAATTGGGGGGGGAGTGGTTAAAAGTAAGATTCCCCTTGTTAAAAGACAAGATTGCACTGAAATCCTCATAGTCTACCCAGTGCCCTGGTGACCAGAGGAGGGGACTGTTGGAGGGAACAGAAGTTTGGCTCATGGCACCCACAAGAAAGCTTTTCCTTCTGCATCAGGTTTGGATGGAGATCATGTCTGACCTCCAGGTAAGCAATAAAATCTCTGAGACAGACAAACAGCCAGATAGTCTCTTACCCATGTGTCCCCAGAGCACGAAGGGGAAGGGGGTCTTAGAGGCCAGAGGATCTCAGGCGTGTGGCAGGCAGGGCAGACGGGGTCAGTATGGGGGAGCCATCAGAGCCCTGCAGAGGTTGCCCCTTCGGCTTTTGAAATAAGTTTTCTCAACCATCATTGCAAAGATCTTCTTAAAATTAACAATAGCTTAAACGCCTGTTTTAGTTGATGTATTCTTGCTTGCAGAAATGTCAGAGTTCTGGCTGAATGTCACAGCGTTTAATTCTTGAGCACTGTGGCCAGACTGGCTCTCATGCTGTCTGAGTCAGGATATTTAAGTCTGGTCACAGATAAAAGTCACCCATAATCTCAGTTTGGGGTTCTGATGAGACAGGTGGAAAATAGACCTCCAATGGCCTGTGAAAGCGTCATTGGCAAAAATGCAGTGGAATCAATAAGCCACCTGGTCAGAGCGTCAGCCCGTAACCAGGAGTCCTTATACTGCTGTTCGTCGGTGGGCTGCAGGCAATCTGTGGCCCCTAAAACTGAAATGTGTGTGTGTGTGCTGGGGAGGATCTCGGGAGAGCCCCCTAACACCCCCTCGCTGTGGGCCGTGACCATCTCTCTCCAGCCCTCCGCTGCCTGCGCTGGACATGCTGGGACTCCTGTGACATTCCTGTGACACTCATCACCATGCAGGACTGTGCGGTGTCTGCCCAGATATCCTGGCTGTTTGAAAAGCATGGGTCTAACACCCAGAATGGTGTTGCCATGAAAGCCCCCTTCCCAGCCCAGCCTCACGCACAGGTATTAGTGTCCACGTGTCATATGGTCACATGCTCCCGACCTCCTTTAAAGGCCATGGTTATTGACAGTGTTATTAACCTGGGCTAAGGAAGATCCGTCCTCAGCATTCCCATTTTTCAGGAGAGTGAGAGAATTTCAGGCTCTTTCTGAGCCAAACTTGGGTGGTCCTGACAGGTGTGGGAGAGGTTGACACAAAGTGTCCACAGGAAGCAAGTCCCGGCTGTGGTTCTCCCTGCCATTGCCAGTCTTGGGTCATTCGGGCCATGGAGGGCTGGATGTGTGGGTAAGAGGTGGGGTGTGCTTCTGAGCCCCAGGAGGAAAGGGACACTGGTTTGGACTAAGGCCCAAGGGAAGCTCTGGCTCTGTGCGCCGAATCGGGCAGGCAGGGAGGAGCAGCCAGGATTTGAGAGCAGGACGTGGACAATCCCCGGATTGCAGGACAGCTGCCTTGTGGGGGTGGAGGTGTCCCTGGAGGGTCACAGTGGTCACATAAGGCCCCTCTTCCCTTTCACATGGGCAAGTCCCTGAGCTTGTAGGGTCCTTCAACATCTGAGACAGGTCTCAGGACGGGGCCCCGCCTGTCCTGAGAAGGGTGGAGGGCTGAGGGCACAGGTGAGGAGACCAAACCTTTTTTTTTTTTTTTTTTTTTTTTGCTTAGTGCAGTGTTCAGAAGTGGAGAGACCAAACCTTTAGACCCAGGTGGAACCAGAATCTGGTGAGTTTGAAGTTAACTCTGTCTTTTCGTCCTCACTGCACTCTGCACATCAGGCCCAGGCCACGTAGTCGGGTCTTGCAAGGACCCCTGGATCTGCCTCTGTAGCCTGGGCACGCAGCCGGGCTCGGGCTCAGCCTCCGGGACAGGGGTCCCCGACCAGGGCTGCCCAGCAGAGCGGGCCGTGGACTGCTTGGCCCCGACAAGGCCTCGCTCCTGGCCTCTGATGGGAATGGCGTCCTGGATTCGAGCGTCCCTGCTCCTGACACCCAGCCGATGGGTAGAAACAGTCTGATTTAAAATTAGCCATCTTACTCTCCTATTGACTCACTACCCCAAAAGAGAGAGATTTTCTGCTTCCTCCTCTTAAGAGGGCAGTTGGACTTTTTGTCCTGAAAATGGAAGTGTGCCTAGCCCCAGGGGAGAGTTGAGTGTTTTGTTCTTAAAAGCCTAGACTCATAAAATAATGATAATTCAGGGGGCTTGGAATAGAAGAAAACTCCATGGACCGTGTCCCAAGAATAGCCCATGGATGGAGGAGACTGGGTGGGGACAGGTGTTCCCATGGGGGCCAGGGAAGTGGCAGGCCCCCAGGCTGGGGGGAAGGGGAGGTGTGGAGGCTGCCCCTGGGGGGGGGCTTGGAAAGGGGGGGTGCGGGGGGCAGTCTGCACCCACATGTGAAGAGCCAGGGCGTCTAAGCACTAAAGAGAGAAAGTCCAGAGCCCAGAGGATGCATCTGTGTTAGGCAGAAGCAGCAGCAAAGCGGCGGCCCAGGCCCAGGGGTGAACATCCTCTTTCAGGACATCAGTGAGCCCTGGAGCATTTGTTTAACCTCCTAGAAAGAGGAAGTGGACTCAGAAATGGACTCATGGTGAAGTTTTCATATACCTTCATGAATGAGAGCTTGAGTTGGATATAATATGACTTAGGGCAATAAAAGTGACATTCTTGTACCCAAATGTTGAGAAGCACATCACTACCCATCACCAACATTTAGGAGTCCTGTCCACCCACAAGACAACAGGCACAATGCAGAAACACGAAAGGAAGTAGATAGGATTAAACACATGAATAGTTCATCTCCGCAGCTACTCCCTAAGGTACAGAGGTGAATTAAAGAAAGTGAGAGGGAGGTCAGGGGAGGCATTCCCCAGACACGGTGTTTGGGCTTGGAGATCTCCCTGTGAAAACTCTCCCTTACAAAACTCTTGCTGGCCAGGTGTGGTGGCCTCAGCACTTTGAGTGGCTGAGGTGAGAGGATCACTTGAGGCCAGGAATTTAAGACCAGCCTGGGCAACAGAGTAAGACCCTTGTCTCTACAAAAACTAAAAATGAAAGAATTAGCCAGGCATAGTGGCACATGCCTATAGTCATTGCTACTCAGGAGGCTGAGGCAGGAGGATCGCTTGAGCCTGGGACTTCCAGATTGCAGTGAGCTATGATTGCACCACTGCACTCCAGCCTGGGTGACAGAATGAAACCCTCACTCTAAAATCAAAGGGAAAAAAAAAAAAAAACCTCTTGTTTAAAAAATTAAGCAGATGGTCACCAAATCACTAGTATACCAGAATACAAGACCGCTCATATATGTGGGGGAGGCACTGTCAGCATGGCCTCGCCACCCCCAGCCCCACCCCAACCTGCAGAAAGCTTCTTGAAGGGACAAAGGAGCCAAGATTAGGGAGAACAGGAGCTGGAGCTCTCAAGATAGATGAGGCGCCCTGGTGGCGAGGCAGTAGCACTAAAAGCACAGGAGAAAAGTGAACTCTGGAGCTGACCCAAGGGGCAAGATGGAATGAATGGTTTTCACCACAGACTGAGGGACTCAGCTGTCCCAGTGCACGAGAGGGGAAAGGGGAAGTGGGTGTCCAGGACCCACAGGGGGACAGACAACTGGGCCAAGCTTCAGAGTGACGCTGAAGACCTCGGACGTGTGTGGTGGGAAATGGGGACCCGGGAGGAGGAACGGCCCAGCGCTCAGGGGCTGGACAGGGAAGCTGCTGGCTGTGAGTGTGTGAGTGAATGGGCTGGAATTTGGTCCCCAGTGTTGGGAGGTGGGGTCATTAAGAGCTGATTGGGTCATTAAGAGGGATTAGTGCCACTCTCTAGGGTATTAATGGGTTAGTTCTCACATTCACTGGCCTTTCTGCTTTTCCACCCAGCCATGATGCAGCATGAAAGCTCTCCCCAGAAGCGGCCACGGTACCCTTGGACTTCCCAGCCTTCAGCGCTGTAAGAAATAAATTTCTTTTCTTTATAAATTACCCCGTCTCTGTTAGCCTATTACAACAACAGAACACGGACTCCGACAGAAGCTGGTGAGAGCCTCCCAGCCACCTGCACATTAGGGGTGAAGGACCCCCAATACTTCCCGGGCCAGCTGTCCCTCCCTTGGTGGCTCAGGGCCTCAGTGTCGGGAGCCTGGCAGCAGGTGGCCTGGGATAAGCAGGGGTCCCCACATCTCAGGGAACTGGAACACCTGGTGTCTCTCTGGCTTGGGCAGTGCCCGAGAAATGCCAAATTCTTGTATTTGGAAGACCTTTTCTTTTATTCTACTCTTTCCTCCATACCTCTCCCCACTAAAAAAAAATGATTCCTCATGGCTTTCTTTGCTAATTATATAAATAATTAGCTCCTTTGTCTTGAAACACATGTTCTCCCACTGTTAATTATTTGATTAGACTGCAGTTTTCTACATTTAGTCATGACTTCCTGGTGATGTATTCGAGGCCCTTTAATTAGATTTTTGCAAGGCCTGATTGGATTTGGTAGATACCCCAAGCCTGAAGACTCCAGGGCTAGCAAATCTCATTCATAACGGGCTGATATAGCTCGCAGGGAAGAGGATAACTTCATCCCCAAATTTGGGGGCGTCCTCACTGAGGTGTTCCTGAGCACTGTGTCTTCTCCCCCTGCTGCCCTCAGACTCTGGCAATGGGGGTGCCTCCCCAGCCTGTTGGGAAAAGTCTCCTACAGACCTGCCGTGTGAGGAGGTGGGGCCACTTCTGATCCCGTGTCCCGCCCAGCCCACTCCATTGCTCCCGGGGTCCTTCCACCTGTCCCCATCCAGGTCTTGCCAGGTGTGGAGCCTCAGACCCGGCAGGTCGGCCAAGGTGGGGACACTAATGCAGAGGCAGGCCAGGTCTGCGGCTGTCTATTGACACAGGTACGGTCACACAAGGGCTGCGCTTTATAGGAAAGGATTCGGGGGTGGGGCTCCCAACAACGGAGGGTCTTTGTTTCAACATGCAGATGACTCAGGCAGATACTTTCCTGCTGTGTCACGGCTGTCCTGCAAGTCTCCTCGCGTGAGCTTGCGTGCAGCCAGGTAGAATGTTTTCTCAGTCCCTATTGCTGCCTTACCTACACCCCTGACCGAAGCTACCTTTGTTCCCCCACTGGAGGCACATTTGTCTCTGCCCTGCCCCGCCTAACTGCACGTGGATCTTCCACTAAATGAGGCAGAAGCAGTACTGCCTTGTCACTCCCAGCGGATGGCTCACGGCTTAGAGTTACAAGAGATGGCGGGGGCAGGGAGAGGGTACAGGAGGAATGTCACATCGAGGCTGGTCTGCTGAGTGACCGGGTTGACACCTCCACCTTGGCCCCAGCCCATGAACTGCATGGACCCCAACAGCCAGCGACTGGTTATGAAACGCCCAGGGAACCAAGAGGGCTGGAGGCATAAAACAGCACAAGGGGAGAAAAGGCGTGTTGGGAGCCAGGGATGTCCGATGGCGTGTTGGCTTTCTCACTCACGGGTTGTGTGATCCTGGGCAAATTCCTCACCCCCTCTGAATCTCTGTTTCTTCTCCTATAAAGTAGGGACTGCAGGGCCTTCCTCGCAGAGTTACGACCAAGAGTCAATGGGCCTAACAGGTGCATGTGATGTGTGAGCCTCGGTGGGAAGCTGGCTGGGAAAAAAATCAGGGAAATTTAAATACGGTCTCTAGAATGTCATCTAGTGCAGCGTTATTGTTCATTTCTTTGGTGTGAGGATGGCACTGTCCTTACGAAGAACTCGCATGTTCTTAGCAGATGCACGCTGAAATATTGAAGGTGAGGAGTCAGGAGGTCCGCAGCTCACACCCGGACAGGGCCGCAGCAGAAAGCGTGTTTGTTTGCACGGAGGTGAGGGAGACAAAGCCGGGATGGGAAATGCTAACTGTTGAATCAAGGTGGTGGGTATTCACATGCTCACTGCTTATTCTTGCCATTTTTCTTAATGTTTAAAATGTGTCAGCTAAAACTTTGGGGAGGAAAAGAATAAGTGAGTCAGGTTTGTCAGGCACTCCCCACAATGCCCTGTTTGGCATTGTTTATTTGGCAAATATTCACTAAGACATCAGCCAAGAACGAGGATGAGCTCGCCGGATACTGACCTGGGGTTACAGTGAGGGTTTCGAGAGGCCCAGGGACGAGCATTAAGGGACCAAAAGCAAAGTGCACACGTCAACCATAGATACTGCCGAGTGCTGTGAAGATGGTCCACAGGCGAGAGTCTGAGAAGGGGCGTGTCACGCTGGCTTGGGTGTCCTCTAAGCCGCTGAGCAGGTGGAATGTGAGCTGAGGATGGGCCGTGCCAGGGAGCTGGCCGTGCAGAAACACCCCCCTTTCTGTGTGGGCCCAGGATGCCAAAGGGGGTCACATCAGCCTAGAACCAGGAGAGGGAGTGTCAGCTTCCTCTCGGGAAATTATGCTGCAGCCTTATTTCTGCTCTTGCAACTCTTCAGTCTGTCCAGACAGGCCAGATACCATCAGCCTCCCTGACCAGTGAGCTCCACGGTGTGCGGGCAGGAGGGGGTGACCAGGGTTCCTGCTGGGCCACTTCCTGGAACCGGCTGGTGATCTGGAACTGACATTAGAGGGAATCTCAGAGGTCCTTTACCCAGATCCTGACACTGGCCGAGGCACTTCTCGGAAACACAATTAACCAATGAAAATATGTTCAACTTCATTCATAATCAAAGAAATGCAAGTTGAAACGCAGTATTTTCACCCATCAGATTGGTAAAGACTAAGATTGATAATAGGGATTGCCAGTGAAGCCATGGGCAGCCCTCTCATCCACTGCTTGTTTAGTCTCTCGCAGAAAATTTGGGTGATTTGGCAATATCCATCAAATTGGAAACTGTGACCACCCTTCGGCTCAGCAATTTCATTTTATTGACTCTATTCAGAAGATACCATCAGAGATGTGATTTTAAAAAAAAACAATGTACAAGGATGGTCATTGAATTACATCTAGGGAATTTGCAGCATTGTAGTAATCATGTCACCCAAATGGAAATAATTCAAATGTCCACCAGCAGAACTGCCTAAATAAATTACATATGAGAATGCATTTAATATGAGTAAAGTTTTGGAAATAAAGTTATATAGGCTGAGCATGGTGGCTCATACCTGTAAGCCCAGCACTTTGGGAGGCCAAGGCAGGAGGATTGCTTGAGGCCAGGAGTTCAAGACCAGCGTGGACAACAAAGCAAGATCTCTGTCTCTACAAAAAATTGTTTTAAAGTTAGCTGGTTGTGGTGGTGCATGCCTGTGGTCCTAACTCCTCAAGAGGCTGAGCCAGAGGATTGTTTGAGCCCTGGAGTTTGATATTACAGTGAGCTGTGATTGTACCACTGTACTCCAGTCTGAGCAACAGAGTAAGACCATGTCTCTAAAAACATTAAAAATAGGTTGTGCATGGTGGCTCACACCTGTAATCCCAGCACTTTGGGAGGCTGAGGTAGGGAGGATTGCTTGAGCCCAGGAGTTCAGGACTAGCCTGAGCAACATAGCAAGACCCAGTCTCTGCAAAACATAGAAAAATTATTTGGGTGCAATGGCACATACCTGTAGTCCTGACTACTTGGGAGACTGAGGCAGGAGGATTGCTTGAGCCCAGGAGTTTGAGGTTGCTGTGAGCTAGGCTGATGCCACTGCACTCTATCCCAGGTAACAGGGCAAGACCCTGTTTCAAAATAAAATAAATAAAAATAAATAAGTAAATGTTTGAAAATAAAAATTTAAAAAGATATAGAATAACAGTATAGGTTAGTGAATGCATTTAAAAAAAACTACATACCAAATATTAATAACAGAGATCTAGCTGGGTGTGGTGGCTTACACCACACCCAGCTATTCTGAGCTATTCCGGAGGCTGAGACAGTAGAATCGCCTGAAACCAGCCTACAGAGCAAGATCCTGTTTCTTAAAAACAAAGAAAAAGAAAAAAATAATGCAGAGATTTCTTGGGTATGAAATATTGGGGCTTTTCTTTTCTACAGTATGTATTTCCATAATGTTTACATCTTGTATCACAAGCATGTATTGCTGTCTCAAGCAGAAAAGAAAATATTTTAAAGTGAGGGAAAGTAAGAGAGGATGGAAGGGAGAACCCCAGTGGATATTTGTCCTTTGTGGCCAGCCATCGTCTGAGCCCCCTTGGACCATGTGGGTAATTCTCCTATCTCGGGGTACCCATCAGAGACGTTGTAAATGGCCTGTGACACCAGGCTGCTGTGGCTGAGCCATGGAAGGCACAGGGGACTGCGCCAAAGCTTGGCCCTTAGCCCCAGGGAGCTGAGGAGCTCATGATGGGGCTCGGGTTTTCTGCCACTTGCAATTAGAGTCTTAAATGATCGCTAATGTAAAGGAGGATACTCGGGGTCTCATGAACCCCCCAGAATTGAACAAACAAGCCTTAAGGAGGCGGAAACCAGACAGACTCTAGGGACCCCAGCAGGAGTCTGTGGACCTCTCTTGAGAGCTGCCCCATTGAGAATTCTGACAACTCTCAGCTCTGGGTCTCTCAGTGCCAAATTCCTGCGGAGGGGGATCTGATTGGCCGCTGAGTCAGCCACGGTGAAGGGCGGGGTGCAGAGGATGCTACGGAGACCACCCCGCAGCCTGGGTGGTCTACACGGCAGCAGTCTATTGTCTCACGGTTGGGGTCCGAAGGCTGCAAGTGTGAGGTCAAGGTGTCAGCAGGGTGAGTCCTTCTGAGGCTGTGAGGGAGAACCTGTCCCATGCCTCTCCCCTGGCTTCGGGAGGTTTGCTGGCAGTCTTTGGGGTTCCTCGGCTTGCAGAAGCGTCACCCTGATCTCTGCCTCGTGTTCACCTGGTGTTCTCACCGTGGGCATATCTCTGTGTCCAAATTTTCCCTTTTTATAAGGACACAGGTCATATCGATTAGGGGCCCACCTGCTCCAGTGTGACCTCATCTTAACTA